GAATATTTCCATTATTTCGAACAGGAAAATTATATTTTCGTATAGGAAAATAATGCTTACAAAAGTTTTATGATTTCGAAAGAGATGTAATGAAATGACAATGATTCTTTTTATGATATTTAAGGTGAAGTATGTCGGATATTTTAAGGTCACTTAACAATTTTTAAGTGATTTTATATCATTTTTTCTTAACGTAAAGTGATTCCTCTGGTTATTTTGCGTACAAAGATATTGCAGTAAAAAAATCGAAAAGTGAATATTTTCCGAGATATTTTACATCTTATCAAACTAGATAAGTAATTGGGATCAACTTGATTAAGAGCATGGGATAAATTTCTAGTCGGATATATGTCGTTGTGATCACACTCTTCTTGCGCTTGAGACCGAAAAATCTTCTCTGCATCTTCATATACGATCGATCATGCCTGCACGAGTGCACTCGTATCGTCCAGTTCTTTTTAATAAATGATTTTCCCCAACGAGGTCCTCTCGTTTCCACTGTTATATATAATGCGCAGAGATGGTCCAACTCGCAGAGGTATGGTGTGTTTAGTGAGACGGAGGTGCGCGCAGGTGCTGATCAAGTCTCAGTGGTGATGTTCAAGAGAGAAAGCTGCTTTACGACTGCTGCAAAATTCCTGAATTCGATTGGTGTGTATGCTTTCAATTTTGGCTGAAGCTAACAGCACGCATCGATTAAATTCATGAATTTTACAGCAGATGCAAAGCAACGTTCTTGGCTGAACACAGCCATACTGATACACTGAGAGAAAAATTGTACTAAAATCCACAAATACTTCCTTGATGGGTGTCATTAACACATTTATTTAAATCTACATTCTCTTTATTTAAACCAAATATTGTTTATTTAAATCAAGTAAACAATATTTGATTTAAATAAAGAGAATGTACACTGAGAAAAAAATTTACTAAATTTCAAAAAACCTTTGTTTGATGTGTACTGTGAAGATATTTGTTTAAGTTAAGTAATTATTTTCTAAAATTAAATAAAGAAGTTTTAAATATAAATTTGTTTCTTTAGTTTTAGAAAATAATTACTTAATTTAAACAAATATCTTCACAGTACTATCCAAACAAACGTTTTTTGAAATTTAGTAAATTTTTTTCTCAGTGTAGATTTACGTAAATATGTTAATGGCATCAAGGAAATATTTGTTGATTTTAATGTAATTTTTCTCTCAATGTATAGAACACGCGTAGGCCAGCTAGGGAAACGTTTCATTCTGAGTTTCATTCACGGCTAATGGCGATAGCGTACGGGTGGAACCGAGGACACGGTATCTGGAAATAGGTTCGGCACGCGAGCTCGTTGTCCGGGTTCACCGGCGGATCCTCCGTGCGGCTCTTCCGGATCCTCCGGGTGCTCGGTGTGCGCACACGGCGGTGCGTTTGCGACATTTCCTGGGGAAAGGAATGGCTCTCTCGGGGGACTGTCGGTCGACCGGCCCAGGTTCCACGCTACGCGACGACCAGCCGAACGCGATCTGCAGTGCGCAGGGTGGTCGCGGCTGGGACGGCATTATGTTTTCAGCGGAGACGATAGTCGCGAGGGGTTCGGTGGTTAGAGCGCGAAAATAACTCGAACGTGTGCTAAAAGCAGCGTCCACCGGAGCGCCAGCCTCGCTACAGCGCGTTCAAGAGGCGGCGGAATACCTACCGACGATCGTCCTTCGGATTAGCCGAGTGATCACGAATTTCGGTTTCGCGTCTCCGCTCCTTGATCCAGACGCGAGTAACGGTTCCAATTATAAGTCATTCAAGGTTAGAATGACATTCATTCACATCAATTTGTCCATCGATCAACAGGCACAATGTTAATACCAATCCAGACAGCACAAGTTTCCAAAATCGAGTCATAAGACGTCTTTAGGACGTCTGTAAGACAATACCTTATAAACTTGTCTTAAAAATGTCTTAGAGATGTTTTAAAGATGTCTTATGCCCCGATTTTGGACATTGTGTTGTCTGGGAATATAAATAACAATCATCACAGTTTTAAAGTAAAATTATTAGACTTTAATTGTTTCTAAATAAAAAAAAAAAATGATAATTAGAAACGTTTGTGCGTACGTCTCAATTATGGATCACCAAGTTATTTCGCGTTTCTATAACCCATTTTTATATTTATAATATAACTTTTTATATTTATAATACCCGTGTTTTTTTTTATATTGTTTTAGTCCCTAGGTAGAATAATGATATACATAGCACGACCTGCAACGACAGTTTCATGCAGAGTCGATAAAGCTAATGATAATCTTTCTCTCAAGAATATTAACGATGATTTATGATTTTAATAACCAGAATATGGTAAAAAAAAAGTAAAGAATATTAAAAAGCTTTTATTGCACACAATGCGTGTGCCCTTAATGCACCAATGAACCAAGCTCGACTCAAAATTGAGGCCGTAACCTCGCGTTGTCGATCGCGAGGTCACCAGATTGTCGGAAGGTCGGCAAACCACCACCTCCGATCTCGCCCGATTTTGCGCAACAAGTGGCCCTTCGTGGCGCGAGCGCGCGTTATCGCAATTTCGATTCATATTTAAATATAGCGCGCTCTTCATTCTGAGCTTATACGCTGCCGAAAGCACGACGGACGGGCGCGTCGCGTCTCGTCGAGGGACGACGGTGTACTTTGAATCGACGCGGTAAAGGCGGCTCCACTCACCCGCCGGTGGCACGATATACGTCGGTGTGTTCTCTCGCGGCTGAAAATCCGGGGTCGATTATATCACGCGGTGTTACGAAAAGATGATTCAAGCGAGAATCGCGACGAGAATGCGAGAGAGCTCGGCCGGTCTCGCGTGCGAACGACACGAACGAACGAACAGGTTGCACGGGGAATAGGCCCGATCTCTCGGCTCGGGAATATTTATTCTACGTTGCACTCATGGCTACGTTGCAGTACGTCCCTTTGCTCTCTTCGGCTTCCAACTCGCCGCCGTCGCGAAGGCGCATTGTCACGTGATCTCGCGACGATCTCGCGCGACTCGTTGCTGCGTCTAAAATCGCAAACGACCCAGATAACACAGAGAATTCAAAAAGAATCCAAACAGAATTCAGCCGTCATCAATTCTGAGTTCATTTTCAGATGTAAAGAGAATTCTTCAGAGTTCAGTTCAGTGAAAAGAATACTTTTTGTATCTAAAAATGGACTCAGAATTGGTGACACACGACTGAATTCTTTTAGAATTCTAAAATCGCAAACGACCCAGATAACACAGAGAATTCAAAAAGAATTCAAACAGAATTCAGCCGTCATCAATTCTGAGTTCATTTTCAGATGTAAAAAGAATTCCTCAGAGTTCAGTTCAGTGAAAAGAATACTTTTTGTATCTAAAAATGGACTCAGAATTGGTGACACACGACTGAATTCTTTTAGAATTCTAAAATCGCAAACGACCCAGATAACACAGAGAATTCAAAAAGAATTCAAACAGAATTCAGCCGTCATCAATTCTGAGTTCATTTTCAGATGTAAAAAGAATTCCTCAGAGTTCAGTTCAGTGAAAAGAATACTTTTTGTATCTAAAAATGGACTCAGAATTGGTGACGCACGACTGAATTCTTTTAGAATTCTCTGTGCTATCTGGGGAGGTACACACGGCGTCATGGATGCCCGAACAGAACCTTAGACCGACACCCTTATAGAAATATCATACTAAGAATCATTGATAATTACTTATTATCCAGTATTTTTAATACGGAAAATAAGTAATTATCAATGATTCTTAGTATGATATTTCTATAAAGGCAGTTGTATGATTTTCAGCTTCACGCTGAATAAGATTACGGGAATAAGATCGAAATTATTATAATCCTTTAAAAAGAGACATTACAATCCTACCATTATGACTAAAATTACTTATGATTTTCAATCTCGAGCGTTATGTGTAAGGCTGAAAATCGTTCGACTACCCTTATAGAAATATCATACTAAGAATCATTGATAATTACTTATTTTCAGTATTAAAAATACTGGATAATAAGTAATTATCAATGATTCTTAGTATGATATTTCTATAAGGGAAATAGTTTAAACATTTCTTTCCGATATACTTCAGAACGCATCCGGCATTCAATTGGAGAACTTGTCTTATGTAAATTACTCAAAAATTTTCCCACTATAGCCTTACAGTTGTAGGCTACGCCCTGAAGTGCGACGAAGGAAATGTATGTCAAACTATTTTTTAAACGAGAGTGCATTGACTGTACTGAGAAGTGCTACACTGAGAGAAATCATTCGACAAAAAATTAACAAACGGATATTTCCAATTAAAATGTCGATGATTTTTTATTCAATCAGGAATCATCCGATGAGAAATATCGGTTCATAATTTTTTCATCGGTTTATCTGGTAAGATGTCGTTATGATCGAAAGTATCCGATTAAATTTAATCGAATATGCTGATCGGATATAAAAATTGATTGGAATTTGATCGGAAATATCCGTTTGTTAATTTCTTATCGGATAATTATTTCTCTCAATGTGTAGAGGTATACTGTAAAAAGCAATTGTCACATTAGGCGCGATTTTAAGTTGGACGATACGTCAGTGATCGTCGTTCGTTTACTTTTGCATTCTGCCGTGCGTCACGCTAATGAGTCAATCTCGCTATATGTATTTCCTGAGTCGCTCTAACGGCCAGACGTTCAAACCTCTGCTGTCGTTCCAATCTTTAAGTCTGGATGTGTACAATGGCTCGGACAAAGATCTGCGTGTCCTTGAAAATATACGCGTAATAAATATTGTAATAAATATTGTAATAAAAATACGATTTGCCTCAAGTGAAAATATGCATCGTCTTGCAAAATATTTGAATTCCTTGAGGAAAATTAACATTATCTTTCGTTTTTTAATGTCTTCGATAAAGTTGGATTATGCTGGCATTGCAGTTTAAATTACTTTAGAAATAGTAAAAGAAGATGTTAAAAAAGAGCCGATTTTTGTCCAAAAAGATGTAAGTGAAAGAAATAGTGCTTTGTAGATTTTGATCTCCTGAATATGATAAAGCTGTTGAAATGTTTATGATACTTTAAAATCACCTTGAAAATCGAGTAAGAAAAAAAATATATAAGAATAATATATTTATAAGAACTCGATTAGTTTACGGAGTACCAAACACATCCATGTAAATTTTGGGAGAGAAGTAAAAAGGATGTTTTATGTGTGTACATCAAGAGAAGGAGTACAAGCAACTATATGTTTGTAGCAGAGGGGTTTGGTTAGGTTAGGTTACATAAAGTCGGATTACCACAAAGGGAATACCACAAAAATGCATTTAGTAAAACGGTAAGACGAGAGACATATTTGTATTTAGAGAGGAGACATGAAGAAGGTTGTATATTGTGTGTTTGTGGAGAAGAGGTTTGGGTGGGCCGGTAGGGGGAGAGTAGGTCTTATTTATCGAATTAGTAGAGCTTCCTCAATCCTTTACTTTAAATCTTTTAATACCGCTGTAAAATAGCTTAGGTAATGAAAGATCAGATGAATTCAACCTTTCTATTCTGCAGCAGTGTTGAAAGATTCAGGGAGATCAAGATCTACATGAAACGTTATTTCCCCTACTTACACTTTTTAGGCAAATCGGCTCTTTTTTAATTCTCCTTTAATGATCTACTCGAATATACAATATAAAAAACATTCAAAATAATTTTGTAGCAAAGAGTCAAACGTGCACGGAGAAAAAGATTTGGTTCTTTTAATATAAAATTTGGTCTAAATAAACAAATCAATGTATTTTGTTTGAAAGACACAGAATTTTATGATCTAAATTTTAAATAAAAAGTTTGTTTTTCTTTAATCAAGAGGCGTTGAGGAAATTAAATTAAGATGTGCTAATTGAGCATTACATCGAGAAAATATACTTGAAAATTTATTTGGGGATGTAAAGTTTATTTCTGTGAATGAACTTTATATCCCGCAAACAAATAGTTTTCAACAATTTTTTTCTCAATACATATATTATTGCAAACTTTTTTTTATGTGTGTGTAACATTTTTACACAAAACATATATTAATTTTGCTCATAATTATTATATGTTTATGCTTATAATTTTTGTGTGTGGCTCAAGATTACAAAATTTGTTGTATTTTTTATTGCAACATTTTCTTCACGTGATTCACTCAGTGTAAACTATTCAAGGACATACCAATATTCATTGATATCTATAAAAATTCGTGGAAACTCGTCGGATATAATTGCGAGTCAATTTTGACGGAGAAGTCCGCAGATACGTCTGTGAAAAGAAAGGATTTTGTTGCGCCGATTATCTACGGGCAGCTAATCCGAAAAGCATACACAAAGATGCAATTTGGCGCATTGCCATGTGAGATACGACCTTCGGTATATTCAAGCTATCACGGTTCAATATATCAGTCCGAATAAATCTGCGAAGTGAAATCGCTCGATTTATTTCGACGGCTTCTGTGGGCGCACAGGAGGAATCTGCGTGAAGGATCGCGTTGTAAGTTGAATTAAATAAAGCGCTTACGCGCGACGTTAGGCTCCTACAGTTGGCCAAACTCGAGACGGTCTGTCCTACTGAGCGGTCGTAGCACTTGGCAGAGGAGAGGAGGTTTTAATACCTGTTAATTCTTCTCGCGAGGGCAATTATCTCGCGCGAAGAAGCGCGCACATCCTGCGAGATATGATTTTCCTTTCGCGCGATTTTCGTTCCGCGAAAGCGCGGCGATTTTTCTCACTTATCCTCACGCTCTTTACCACCTCGTCGCATGTGGAACACACTCAATGACGACGGGCGGTATTCCGTAACTCCGACTACACAGCTTTCATCGACACCCACTCGCGTTATGTAATCCGCTAACGACAGTGCCGGGGAACGTTTCAATGCGGTTTTACAGTTGAATAACAATAAATCGCTTTATTATTATACGCGGCGCGAATGCGAGAAATATTGCAGAGCAGAAGGTGTATGTCATCTATCAATATGATTCGCCTCAAGTGAAAATATACGCATCGTCTTGCAAAATATTTGAATTCCTTGAGGAAAGTCAGACATATCCGTTACAGTCTTGGTCCAAAGGTAATGGTTATATGCAGCTGCAGTTTTTATAGGAACCTCTTTGAAAAATGTGCATACAGTATCGCAATTCAAGATTCCCCTCAAGGCCTCACGTTCACTATTGCTTGGCTGGCGTTATGGCGCTTTTCATTTATCACAACACTGTTATCGCCGCTCGTCGCACAACATATCACTTTGTTTTACAGTTTTATTCTGATTGAAACAGCCGGTTCAGAGTTCAGAGTTTTAATGCAGGAGTTTTCCTTATCGTGCTTCAAAGGACACGCGTGTTCACACATGCACGCTTGCTCGTATCCTCGTACGATTGAAAGAAAACGAAATAGGCGACATTAATTTTTCTCCTCAATATGAATTTCAATAATACACGGAGATAATTCGAGTGAATACATTATTAGTAAGATGATAAACTCGACAGTTTGTTTAATTATAGAGTCAGAGAGAAAGAGAGAGAGAGAGAGAGAGAGAGAGAGAGAGAGAGAGAGAG